TTACAGTCAATGTTAAATGTTGCCCTACTTTCTAGAGCTACGCATAACACAACTAAAATTTGCCCTATTACTCTAGACCATTGCATAACGCATACCATGTTTTTGACATATGTCGATCTTGTCGATATTGGTTTTATATTTAAATTTCCTCATGCGAATGGCTATCCTGCTGTGATTGGTTATGGCTCCATTGCTCGTGCGATTGGCTGTACTTTGATGATAGGTTGTGGATTCATTAATCATGCGATTGACTGTACTTTAATGATGGACTGTGTATTCATTTATCATGCAATTGGCTGTACTTTGATGATAGGTTTTGGATTCATTAATCATGCGAATGACTGTGCTTTGATGACAGATTGTGGATTCATTAATCATGCGATTGGCTGTACTTTGACGATAGGCCGTGGATTCATTAGTCATGAACATATCGGTGTTCGAGTGGTCTAAGGGGTTCGCCTTTGCAGATTATTGACATACCACCTGTATGTGAGTTGGAGTCTTGGGTTCGTCCAACGGGGCATGTCAGAAAGTTGGCCAGTAGCTTCCCGTTGGTCCGTGGCTGTTCTTTGGGTTTCCTATGTTCTCTTTTCATTAGATATACTGGCAATCATTTATAGCATATTATGTGATGCAAAACACGTTAACCCCACAAACCCTCAAACCAGTAATGCAATTGGTTGTAATTTCACTATTAGTTTTGTATTCATTACTCATACGATTGGTTGTAGTTTGATGATTGGTTGACGATTCATAACTTGTGCGATTGGTTGTAGTTTGATGATTAGTTTTGTATTCATTTTCGTCCCATTGGTTGTTGTTTGATGATTGATTGTGTATTCATTACTTGTGCCATTGGCTGTAATTTGAAGATTCATTACTTGTGCAATGGTTGTAGTTAGATAATTGGTTGTAGATTGCTTTATTAATTTATTCGTTGTATCTAGGTTGCCTTACATGCAAAGTCTATTTATTTTCATGCAAACCTATTTACACAACTAAGTCAATAAGGACAGATACGTTTACCTAACATGCTAAGTAGTCGTAAAAATATCAAAAATAATCGATTAACGTTTTGACTAATGCAGATTTCAAGCTATTACTTTAAACTAAATGTGTAGTTTTGCATCAAAGTGAACGATTTCATTCGGATTTGTCCCTCTGAGTACTTTTTTGGTCCCTTTCTCTCTCTCTCTCTCTCTCTCTCTCTCTCTCTATATATATATATATATATATATATATATATATATATATATATATATATATATATATATATATATATATATATATATATATATATCTTCCTCTCTCTCCATTAAATGCAATGAACGTTTCTGGTTGCACATGTTTGAGACCAGTCAATATAGGAGTATAATTGGAGTTTTGTAAATCTTTAAAGACAAAACATTGGCGGATTGCTGAGAACACAAAATATAACATTTGGTCTCCTGGAGTGAACTGTATCTAATATATTCAAAGAACACAAAGGAATAAAAATTCTAGAGCATAACTGATTTCAAACTCGGCTGGTATAAAATTTGAACTCCATCTTATAATCTTTTTGCAGCTGAAATCCAAGCATTGCATTTAGATTTCCTAGACTGGTCATAACCACTTGACGATTTGCATGGCGGAAATCTGTAAAGCTTAGTTTATCGCTATAGTCATAAAGATATATTTCATGTCAATATTTAAAGTAATATGTTGTTTTAATTTTAAGGATGCTGGCTCATACTTGATAGCTGCCATAATCATCCCAGTCTGAAAGGGACAGTCAGAGATACGTATGGAGAGACACATAACAGGGCAGGGCAAGACGAATCCCAATGTTTGACAAGAGCATCCAAACAGTGGAAGGAATGCGGGTCCATTCCAAACCACCCCGTAATTGTTGTGTATGGACCAACAGGTCTGATATTATTCACCGAGAAATAGTTGAATCTTACATCAAACGATTTGACTATATATATATATATATATATATATATATATATATATATATATATATATATATATATAGTTTAATACAAACAATACTATCATACAGGTTAGAGAAATTAAATTCGTACTCTACCGAGTTTCGAACCCAGGTCCGCGAGTAAATGGCACCCATCGCCTTGCCTGCACGCACCAACCCATATACCGTCACGACTAAGCACGCATCACCAAAAAATGAGGGCACTGAATCGTTGTTATATAAGCTCGTGCGTAGCAGACACATTCGCATGACGACCTAGTAATTAATTCTCATATATACACACAGTCGTTCCAGATTCCTCTGAAAGAAATCAAGGTATATAGGAATTTTGTTTTACTCGCGGACCTGGGTTCGAAACTCGGTAGAGTACGAATTTAATTTCTCTAACCTGTATGATAGTATTGTTTGCATTAAACTGTTATTTATGTCCACTATTATCAAGATTCTACTACAGAATCCAGGGATAGCACATTCTGTTCTGTCTGGTATATATTTATAATTCTTTATATATATATATATATATATATATATATATATATATATATATATATATATATATATATATATATATAAAGTATTGACGTTTCCTAAGTAATAACATGCAACAGTGTCAATTACTTAGCTTTAAACATATATTAATATTAATATCAAAATTACTCAATTTAGACATAACTTGTCGTTGTTAAATACTTCAATGCTTCCGAGTTAAAATCAAATACCAGATTTATCTGAAAAAAAATGGAGAAAACGTATTTGTTTACTTGGTAGAGATAGAAAGAAAGAGTCACATTCCATTTTTGCAAGTAAATGAATGTTTATTGACTACGTTTGTCCTTCATTAGGTAGAAAGAATTGAATGCTACTCAAACGTCACGTGCTTTTATCTGAAAAAAACTACACCGCTTAAACGAAATGCTTTCATCGATCAAACTATATCATATTTGAGAAAAAAAGGAAAATATACTCCGCTTGTGATGGATCAGGTTTTAAGTCAGAGATTGTGTACCTTTTGACAGCTACTTCATCGATGCACTAGGTTGCTATTCAAAGTTGCGGTTCTTAACCCATGGGTCACGATCCAAATCGGTTTTTAATGCTATATTGAGTGGGTCGTCGAGATCACCATTAATTATATAAAATTTCCTACCTATGTGGTTTTTATTTTTTGATGGGTGGCAAGGTTAACACAACAGACCTAATTCGTTTGGCCGTCCAAAAAGGTTACGAGCCGCCGATGTAAAGATATCTCGTCTAGTGTTGTCAACGTTCAGAGAAAAAGTACAAATACATCCAAAATTATTTGATTTTAGGGAAGGGGTTTATTCCATCAAGTAGATGGAAAAATCGATGAGACTTCAGTGTAATAAAAACATCCAAACCATGTAAAGAATTTACGGCTCCTTGTGATATAGAACAGAGAAACTCACTGAGACAGTAGAGGTTGCAAAAATGTACCATGACCCATGTGACATAAACTTCGCAGTCAGTCTTATAAGCAGCGTACAATTGGAGTTTTGTAAATCTTTAAAGACAAAACATAGGCGGATTGCTGAGAACACAAAATATAACATTTGATCTCATGGAGTGAACTGTATCAAATATGTTCATAGAACACAAAGGAACAAAATTCTAGAGCATAACTGATTTCAAACACGGCTGGTATAAAATTTGAACTCCATCTTATAATCTTTTTGCAGCTGAAATCCAAGCATTGCATTTAGATTTCCTAGACTGGTCATAACCACTTGACGATTTGCATGGCATAAATCTAAAGCTTAGTTTATCGCTATAGTCATAGAATTTACGGTTCCTTGTGATCTAGAACAGAGAAACTCACTGAAACACTAGAGGTTGCAAAAATGTACCATGACCCATGTGACATAAACTTCGCAGTAAGTCTTATAAGCAGCGAGAATTATGGTGCATAATTAAAATGAAAACTTGTAACCAAATGCAGCCTGGAAAAAGAATACAACCTTTGCACGATCAGTGGAAAAAGAAAACAATCGTCCATAATCCCTGTTTTTGTTTTATATATGTCATATGAATTTTCCAAACACGGATGCCTATTTCATCCATTGATTATTTGACCTAACTCGTTAGTGTTCGACTCTTCTCGTTTTCAGTGTTTTCAGAAGAGTTATGGTGCCCACATGATCGGTCATTGTTTTCTTATAGTAACAAGCGTTTCAAATTCTGCATATGGTACCTTCCCCCACTCTTTTTCTCTCCATCTCTTTCTTTCTATCTTTTTATCTTTTTGTATCATTTTTACACTTATTTTTTTCTGCACTTTAAATGTATATTGCTTCTGTTTTCTGGTCTTATTTTGGTACTTATGTTTTGGTGCTGGTGCTGCCAATCATTACGCCAACAACAAAATCTGGTTCACGAATAGGCGCCGTGACGATAGGCGGAGACGGTTGCTTTTTCGCTGACTACGGTTGTCCTTCTCATGGTAATTCCAGCAAGGGACAGATTCACAGGGACACATGGGCCGAGCAGCACGTACATGGGGCAACAAGCGAAGAGGCGTGTCTATCTCGTGCATTAGGAACATGGAAGGATTGTGGAAGCAGTGTAATGTACCCAGTTACAAGCATCTTCAGACCAACAGGTGAATCTTCTTTATTGTGCAATAACTTCTATGGAAACTTTGTATGTATGTATGTATGTATGTATGTATGTATGTATGTATGTATGTATGTATGTATGTATGTATGTATGTATGTATGTATGTATGTATGTATGTATGTATGTATGTATGTATGTATGTATGTATGTGTGTGTGATTTAGATTTTTAACGTAGCCTTAATACTTTTTTCAGTCATATTGCTACGATGTCCACAGTGTGACAGTTTATAGTATTGTCTAGCACTAGGGCATCATGCCACAGACGTGACATGATGTCCCATCCATTCACATTATCCTAACAGCAGGTCGACCAGTCCTAACACTTTCCTCTTAATTCTGAGCACCAAGCGAGGCAGCTGTTAGCACCATTTTTTAAAGTTTTTGGTATGACTCGGCCGGGGTTCGAAACCGCGACCTCCCGCACCCGAAGCCTACACTCTAACCAGTAGGCCACCGAGCGGTCGAAACTTATATATATCTTCGTACAATGAAAACATATTAAAGAATAATTAATTATCACACATGCACTCTACACTAAACTTTTTCTTGTATAAAAGCGACTAGAAAAGTGATATGGTGATCTGACTGCATTAGTCATTTTTTAAAAAACAAACGAACTTAGTGCTGCATGCATTTTGCATATTTAGTATCTACAATGTATGCATGTATACTGTGCACCCCATTCTCATGCACCAGTGTAAATGCATTAATACTGATTACGAACAGTACAAAACTAGTTTCTAAGAGGCTTGAGCCCATTTTGACTTTTTTTCGAGTATTTTTCAAAGGAAAGCCCTGAGATAAGACAAACAATTAATGACTAAAAGCATAACCATTCCTACATGAATCAAACCTTTTAAATATCTTATGTTTTGGCTAGTTGGCTTCAACGATATATATATATATATATATATATATATATATATATATATATATATATATATATATATATATATATATATATATATATATATAATGGTTAAATAGCGATAAACAGTTTTATTCACATTACCTGAAAAACCATAATTTATGCTTAACAGTTGATAAGAACTTAAACTATAAAATAAATAAATAGTAAAATAATATGGTGTGTGAAAATATTTAGAACAAAATAATTATAACATGTTAAAACATTAATTTGAGATAAGCAGTTCTTTTTCCAAAATTAACGTTTATATTTTTGATATTAGTAATACTTACATTAAATAAACTTTTAATAAAATTAATATTAAATAATATAGAAGTAATAACTAATTGTAAACAAGAGACATAATTCAAACAAATTTAAAATACACACACACACACATATATAATGAAAAATAATTATATATATATATACACAGAAAAATAATTATATATATATATATATATATATATATATATATATATATATATATATATATATAATATGGCATATCGTACAAGGCTTTGGAATTAAGACCTTTTGGATATACCGTGTAAAGACGGTGAATCCAATAGGTTTCCTTTAAAAGACGTTCCATCTCAGAATTAACTACATCAATAGGTTGAAAGGAGAAATCTTGTAAAGTATGGGAACTTTTGTTAAAGTGTTTTACAACGTGTGAATTGAAATTATGATCAATATAGTTTTTTTAATATCTGATCTATGTTGGTTCATACGTTTAGATAATTGTTGATTCGTTTGTCCAATATATTGTATGCTACACTTTTTGCATGTGATCAAATAAATGACATTTGATATTGCACAATTAGTATTACGACGCATATTAAAAGTTTCTTTTGTATACATACTATCAAAAGAAGTATTTTCATTTATAAAAGAACAGTGCGAACATCTAGGTCTATTACATTTAGTTGATGATCCATTTTTATGTTTTTTTCTAATTTAGAACTAATTAAGTAATTTTAAGATTGTTTGGCCTTTTATAAGCAAGCGTGTGTTTGCTTTTTCTGTAGCGTTTTAACACTAGTTTTACTAGATAGTTTTAATAAATTGAATTATTTGTTGATACTTATACCTATATTAGACAAACTAGGATTATATTAAATAACAAAAAGAATAATAGCTTTATTTTTATCTTTGTTTCTACATTGTAATGATTCAAGTTGTATAAGAGATGATACTTTTTGGAAAGCAGTATCAATGATGTTAATAGAGCAATTCCTATTTAGAAAATGCTTACCTAACTCTGCCAAGAACATACAAGCAAGCATGTTATATTACATGCTATGAGATAGAATTTCTTTTTGAACATTCTGTTTGGATCATGTCAGTTCAGTTTTTCCTTCGTTGCTGTTCAAGAGAATGTGCTGGTCTCTATCATATGTTGACAAGTTTTGCATCCTTTATCATCACAGGGACCAGATTGCTAGGGTAGTCTAGGTTTGAGATTGGTGATTGCTTTGCTCTAGCTAGGATGTCTCTGAGTTTTTTGTGGTCTATGGAAAGCTACTACTGCTTTGCTGGAGATGACTAACTTTACAGTTTTCGTCTTCGGTATGCTACTGCTAGTTTGTTCAAGAGGACTGATTATATTTACGTCTACTGCAGACCCCCACTTAAAGTGAATCCTCCGAAACAAACCCTTTTTAGTGCTTGTTGTTTGTCTTGAGCTGATGGTGTACTTCCTCATTGTTACCCATATGGTTGCATGCCATAACCGATCAAATTCCGTTTTTAAATCTATAAAGACGTGGTATAGATTTTGTAGTTGCTGAAGGTATTTCTCGCAAAGGAGTATGAGGTTTAAGATTTATTCTCTGGTGCTCGGAAACCTGCCTGTTCTTCAGCAATAATTTCTCTGCTTGAGGCTTTCGTCTGTTGAGAATTAATTTTAGCTTGACTTTGCTCGATTGACTGATCAAACTGATGGTTATGTAGTTTTAAAGTAGCTGTAGGTTTCCTTTCTTGGGGAGCACGATAACCAATGATTGCGTCCATGTAGTGGGCCATTTTCCTGTCTGCCATATCTTGTTGCAGATTATTGTTAGGACTGTGACTATCTCTTCTGCTCCTGCTTGAATGAGCTCTCATGGTATGTTGTCAATGCCGGCTGACGTTATTTTCTTAGTGACCTAACTGCAATTTCTCCCTCTTGAGGAATAATTGGGTTGTCGTCAATTTCTTATGCTTGAGAGAAATTTAGAACTGCAGAATCTCCTTTGGTCATATGATTGTAGAATTCTGAGCAGTATTCTGTCATATCGCTTGAGGATCTCTTGATCTACTGTGAGGCATTTGCTGATTTGTCTTAGATGGTAATTTTCCCTTGTTTATGAGTTGTGAGATCTTTCACAAATTGATATGCAATTTTGCTGTCATTTCTACTCAGACTGTTTTCGATTTTTACAGCATTATCTTTCTATTCAGGACTGCTTGCTTTTTCATAATTTTCATGATCATGTTGTTTATCTCTGTATTTTCTAGCTACTTCATGACCTCTTTTTCTCTTTTTTCAGTTATCTTCTCTTGTAACATTGTTCAAGGAATCTTTTGTGACCCTAGGTTTCTTTGTTCGACGATATTTGCCAATGATCTCGCTAACTGTGGTAGTCAGAGATGTGTTGAATGTGGTTGTTAAGGACTCTAAGTCTGTGTCATGGCTGTTAAAGGCTATCAAAGGTGCAAATTTACCACCTATCATGGCATTGAAGGATTCTGCGACGTTTGGATCTTCCACTGTTTTAAGGTCAAATCTGGTTTTTGGTTGGTTAGGCTTTTTGATAATTTTCATGTGGAGGAGAAACGTCGTCATTAATAAATATTGGTTACTTCCAACATCTGCTCCCGGAAAACGTCATGTTCTGGTGATATTTAGTCCTATGCACAATCGTTTCTCGCCAAGATGTAGTCTATCTGATTATGATGTTGTTAAACTAGACGTAGCCATGCCAATCTTCTAGATGCTTTGTAATGCCAATTGTTTTGGCTAGCACAAGATTGTTGTAGGCATTGTAGAAGTGTCCTCATCTCCATTACCAGTTTTTGAATCAACTCCCATCTTTGCATTTCAGTCTCCTTGTACTAACAGAATGCCCTTCTTGGGTGAGTTGTCAATGGTATCTTGGAGTAGGTTTTAAAAATTATCCAGTTTGTTGTCATCATAGATGTTTGTGCGTAGGCCTGTAAGATTGTGATGTTGAAGGGTGTCGCCCTCAAGAGGATGGTAATTATCCTGCTTGAGACAGGGCAGTAACCCATAATGATGTTCACGATACTTTTGTGGACAATAAATCCAACGCCATGATTGTGTTTGTCCCCTCTTCCGCTGAAGTTGCGCTTATGCCCTTCATCTGTTGTTCTTTCGCCAAAAGTTTTCAAGCGCAGTTTGCAGAGACCAACAATGTTCCATTTGTACCCCTCCAACTCATGCGTAAGTTATTTAAACTTTCCCACAGCCCTTCAATGTTCAATTGATGTCTCTCCAACTGATATTGGTGGTGGAGGCACCAGTTGCATGATCGTCACTTCCGTCCTGGTGTGCATCGGAAGACACGGTCACTGCTGATCCAGGCTGCGACCGATCAGGTATTGAAGAATTGTTAGTTGTCTTTATGTGGTGTGTCAAGTGCAAGATATAGCCTAGTGGAGAGTGGAGCCCATCCCTCTCCAGACTGGCTGATCACAGCTGCAATCCACTGATACAATGTTGCACGCACTGGTCTTAGGAACTCGGTCATTTAGCTCATTTTGGAGACATTTCGCCCTGGCCGTTGTTTTCATCGAGCTAGATTTCTGCCCAGTGATTTATTTTTTCTATCATCACACTATCTTTCCCAGAGTTGGTAGACTCGTGGGAGTTGGAGCATCTTATTCTATCACGTACGGATCCAATGGACCGGTACCACTGCCCACGCAGCTCAAACCTGGTACAGGTTGTTGACCACATATATGATAAAGACACCAGTGTTATCCTGGTCAATGGCAGCAGAGGAGATTGATTTGGAAAAATATTGTAAGTAAGACTGCAATGCATACTTTCTCCTACACTTTTCAAGATCTTCCTGGAAAGGACCATAGAGAATGCCTTGCATGACCACAAGGGCTCTGTCAATATTGGTGGAAAATTAGTCACCAACCTTCGCTTCGCAGATGATATTGATGGTTAAGGGTTTAGCAGAAGATGAAAATAACCTGCTGATTGAGGTGGTTGAGCGCCTCTACACAACCATCACAGCATACAGTATGGAGATTAGCGCCGAAAAAGCCAAATGATGACACACATCACCAATGGCATCAGTACAGAAATTCAAGCCAGTGGACAGAAGCTGCAGAGAGTCACAAGCTTCATGTACTTGTGATCAATTACCACAGATGAGGGCTCCAAACCAGAACTACTCTGCAGTATTGGTATCAGACAAGAGTAACAGTATCAAGTCTGAGACCAATATGAAAAGATACTAACATTGCTTTAGGTTCCAAAACAAGGCTGATAAGCTCGATTGTCATATCCATCTTTCTGTATGCTTGTGAAACATGGA